AACAGAATTTGTAAATGATTCTTCTTTTCCTTTAAGTATTTGCTAGCATTCACTATGAAACCATAAAGCCTCAGTGTTTTCTTTCTTTTTTAATTTATATGTTCGATGTAAATTTATAGTTTAGAAAGAAAATTTTTGAAAGTTAATTTATATTTATATGTTCTATGTCTTATTAGATCCTATTCTGGGTCTTTTAAGAAATTCACCAGTCTTATCTGTTGAGTTCATTGCCATAATAATGCTCATAACATTTCCTTTTTCTCTTCATATTATTATTGTTTCTAGTGATCATCTTCACATGTGCAGATTTTCTGTAGTTTTCATGGATTTTTCTATTTAAGTTATTTATTCTCCTTATTTTTCCTCCAACTTACTTTCTTTTTCATTCATCTTTCTTTTTCCTAATTTAAGATGAGGATATACATGACAGATTTTAAAACTTTTCTCCTTTTCTAATAAAGCCATTTGAAAGTATTAATTCTAGTAACCAGTTCTTCACCAATAGTTTATTTACATACCACAAGTTTTCATTTTGATGCATTTTCACCATCATTTTTCTTAAGTGTTTTTATTTACATTTACTTGTGGATTCTTCTTGTACTGTTAAAATTACTCATAAGCATGGGGTTTCATTTTCAAACACTAGAGATATTTTTAATTTATTGTACTGACATTGGTTTTAAAAATTAAGTCATTTGAAGCCAGATACCATCCTCTGTAAATCTCAATTTAAAAATACATTAGCATTTATTTTATAGACCAGTATATAGTTCTTTTGGTAGGTGCTTCATATACAACAGAAAATAAAGTATGTTGGCAGTTTGGTTGTTAGTGTTATGTAATTTTCAAGTAGCGGGTACTTGTAATTAATGAGGTTAAGTTTGAATTTTTTTAGTTTATGTTTTCTCTATTTTGGGGCACTATGTAAAACACATTATGAAACCTTCAGGTATGATCAGGAATTTGATTGTCTTTGTCTTCTTCTCCTTCTCCCCCTTCTCCTCCTCCTCCTCCTCCTTCTCCCCCTCTCACCCGTCTCCTTTTCCTCCTCTTTTTCCTCTTCCTCCTCATCCTCTTTCTTTTCCTTTTTCCCTCTTCCTTTTTTTCTCTTGTACTAGTATTTGGTCTTGAACTCAGAGCCTGGGTGCTCTCTTTTTTTCTTTTTCTTTTTCTTTATTTATTTTTGTTGCTGTTGGTCATGGGGTCTGAACTCCGGGCCTGGGCGCTGACCCTCAGCTCTTCAGCTCAAGGCTAGCACTCTACCACTTGAGCCACAGTGCCACTTCCAGCTTTATTCTGCTTATATGGTGCTGAGGAATCAAACCCAGGGCCTCATGCATGCAAGGCAAGCACTCTATCACAGAGCTACCTTTCCAGCCCTTCTTTTTTTTTTTTTCCCTCAAGGCTTTTACTCTATTGCTTGAGCCACAGCTGTACTTCTGAATTTTTGGTGGTTAATTGGAGATTAGAGTATCATAGACTTTCCTGCCCAGCTGGTTTTGAAATGTGATCCTCAGATCTTAGACTCGAGTAGCTAGGATTACAAGGGTGAGCCATGGGCCTGTTTCTTCTGAAATTCTTCTTTAATTCTGTCAGTTTTGCTGTATGTACTTTGAAGCTGTACCTGTAGGCATGTATACATTTAGAGAATATTTTAGAGAATTTAGAGAATTTTTAAAAACCATTTTCTAATTTCTCTCATTTCTGTCAATATTCTTTATCCTGAGGCCTATTTTATGTGGTAACACTATATCCTGAAGATCTTTCTTATACCTACTATTTTCTATCATTTCCCTCAACTTATTGATCCTTCCAACTAATTTGGTTCACAAGAAGCAAACACAGTGATGGAGATTTGTGTTTATTTGGGTTGTATATTAAACCTTTATAAGGAATGAAGGAAATGAGGTTGGACTGAAGCATTGATCTATCCTCCTATACCTGCTATGACATCAAGACTCTCAACTACTCTTACAGGATGTCCTAGAGGAGATCTTTGAAGCTAGAGGGCATAGTTTTCACAGCCTGAGTAGTTAGTAGATAAAGGCTGCTCCCAAAAGAATGTGGTCTTGGGTACAGTGACTCTTTTAGTTGAAGATGAGTCCTTGAAATCAAGAGTTGTTAATATCAGTCCTAGCAGCTATAACAATCCTATAGCTAGATGTCTTTGCAGTTCCCTATGCACGTTTTCTTATATTTCAAATACTATTTTTCCCCCAGTCCTGGGGCTTGAAGTTGTCCTGGGTGCTGTCCCTGATCTCCTTTTGCTCAAGGCTAGTACTCTACCACTTGAGCCACAGTGCCACTCCAGCTTCTTCTGGGATTAATTGGAGGTAAGAGTCTCATGGAGTTTCTTGCCTGGGCTGGCTTCAAACCACAATCTTCAGATCTCAGCCTCCTGAATAGTAAGGATTATAGGTGTGAGCCACTGGTGCCTGGCTTATTTCAAATACTTTTTAATAGATCTGGCATAGCTAAGTCTTGGCTGTCTAATTCAATATGACACTCATTAGCTTTACAATGAAGTGTTTAGTCCCTTGATATTAATGTAATTACCAAGGAGTGAAACCATTATCCTATTTTGTATTTTCCATTTTTATCATCTTTTTGTTTTCTCTATTCCTAATTTCTTTCCATGACTTTTTTTATATTTTATTTTGGTTGTTTTTTTTTTAGTGATACCTGTTTTCATTCTCCATATGAACATTTAATAGTAGAGGTTTTTAACTGCCCAATTAATAAGTGGGCTAAAGACTTAAGATTTCTCTGAGGAGGAAATGAGAATGGCCAGTAGACACATAAATAAATGCTCAACTTCTCTAGCCATAAAAGAAATGCAAATCAAAATAATATTGAGATTCCCCCTCACCCTAGTTAGAATGGCTTTAATCAAGAAATCTAATAACAACAGATGCTGGAGGCGATATGGCCAAAAGGGAACCGTACTGTATTGTTGGTAGGAGTGTAAAATTCTTCAACCACTCTGGAAAGCAGTATGGAGGTTCCTCAAGACTCCACATAGAGCTCCCCTATGACCCAGCAATCCCACTTTTGGGCATTTACCCAAAGGATCACAAACAAGGCCATACTCCACATAGAGCTCCCCTATGACCCAACAATCCCACTTTTGGGCATTTACCCAAAGGATCACAAACAAGGCCATACTAAAGCTACCAGCACAACTATGGTTATCACAGCATTATTTACCATTGTTAAGATATGGAACCAACCCAGATGCCCCTCAGTAGATGAATGGATCAAGAAAATGTTATATATACACACACACACACACACACACACACACACACACACATACATATATATATATATATATATATATATATATATATATATATATGGAATTCTATGCCTCTATTAGAAAGAATGACACCATGCCATTTGTTGGAAAAAAATTATAATAAGTGAAGTAAGCCAGGTCCAAAGAAACATAGGTCCCCATGGTTTCCCTTATTTGCAATAACCAGTCTATGTCTAGGACAAGCAGAAAAGGTCAAAAGCTATATACATATGACCATATAAAATGATGCTACATGAAATGAACCCCAAGATAAGAATACAAGAGGTTTTATCTTTCTTGCTGTACTTATAATGCACTATGTGATTTTTTTTTATTTCTTTGTATGTTCTTCCCCCATGGTACAACCCCTGTTGTCACTGTATTTGATTCCGGTTCCCTGCATCTTGTTTATATATTTTTCTAATTTGGAGAGGGGAAAGGAAATAACAAAATGTTTAAATAGGGATACAGGTTGACCCATTGTAACAATGAGATGTACAAGACACTATGTTGAAAATGAACTTTACAACTCTGGGTGGAGGAAGGGAGGAGTTGCGGAGGTGGGAAGGGAAGAAATGGTAGGGGAAAAGCAAAGGAGGAGTGACAATGCTCAATAGGAAATGTACTCATTACCTTGCTAATGTAACTGGAACCCCCCTGCACAGTATCTTTATAACAAAAAATATATATTAAAAATAGTAGAGGTATTTTTTACCCTAAACTTACATACAAGTTAAATATAATGTCTATGCAACATTGAAAGAAGTTTTCCAAATATGAATTCATGTCACCATCATTTTCACTGTTGTTACTTATTTAAATTCTATAGCATATTACACATTTCACAATATAATACAAAATTTTGCTTCAAGAGGTCATCTATCAAGAATAAAGAGGAAAATTAAGGATAATCTTTGATTTTATCAACATAGTTACATTTATATTACTCTTCATCTACTCTTGTAGATTTAAGTTTTTATTTGATATTGTTTTTCTTTCAGTTGGAATTTTCCTGTAGTGTTTTTGTTATTAAGGTCAATGGAGACAAAAATTCTCAACTGTTGTTTACATCACGTTTCCTTTCTTTCATGAAAGTGGTGTGGCTTCCTTGAGCCACTGAGAAATTCCTTAGAGTCTCAATTCTAGCACATTCTCTGGAACGTGCATATCAAACTCCCTCGTTCCAGTATGGATGTCAACAGTTCTATAGCTGCAGCTGTCATGGCATGAGCTCATTCTTTTAGCCACCTGGGTCAACAGAATTGGCTAGATGTTTTGCTCTGGTTTTGAGCTAATGGTTCATTCTGACTAGTGATTTCTATCTCAGACAGTACCCATTTACAGGAACTGAACATTTTCAGCCTTCCCCTGCCTTTGTAGCAGAGAGGATTGTGGGCATCTATGCTCATTAAAACCACCAAGATGCCAGGGTCTGCTTTTTCCCTTATTTTAATGGTATAGTTGTAGAAATGAAAAATAAAAAAAAAAAACACAAACAAACAAATGATGAGATCTCATGTGCTGTTGAAGCTTTTCTAATTTATCTATTTTTATGAATGGCATTTCTACCTAGGTAAGAAACGATTGATTTTTATTGTTATTGTGGGGTTACACATGTGCCAAGGAGAGTAAGACATCTAATTTATGAAGAAATCACTGGTGAGATTTCATTGTTTGCTCTGCCGCTTCTTACTCTTGACAGGTCTATGGAAATGCAGGACCTAGCAAGTCCTCACAGTCTTGTTGGCAGTAGTGATACTCCTGGTGGCTCCAAACTGGATAAATCCAGTCTCAGCAGCACGTCAGTCACTACAAATGGGACAGGAGGTAAGTGTGCCTTCCTTAAAAGGCTCACAATCACCTTTCAGTGTTTCCTCTGATTTCACATATTAGAAATCTCCTAATAAATGGGTATCTTATTATCAATGTCATAATCAGTGATATATCCAAGAAATGCATAGCTAGTATATTATTAATTGTTGTACTGTTCTCATGAAACTCATGTTCTTCCTTGATAGCTAGAAATGTTAGTAGGAAGTAGAAAGACCTAAGCAACATTTGAGGGCATTTAAAAGTTTTCTCTTTGTATTTTCCCTTGAACATATTCTGCAGAGTTTAGAAATTGTAGTCAGATATTTACACCCTTACACCCCCCCCACACACACACACGCATACAATTTTTGGGTTTATTTTGAATTGTAAAAAGTTATAGTCCAGTTTTTCATTAAAAGTTTTTTTTTCTTAAAAATGATTTTAGAAATATTCAAGTAGTTATATCTGCTGTATTTTCTTTTCAAAGAGAATAATACCATAATACCTGGTACTTATTTAAAAGGGAATTGTATTCTTTCTAGATACTTTCAGATTTTATTAAGTCATAATTAGGCTATAACATATAGCAAATATTTCAAATATTGTGCTTTACTGTTTTATAAAATACATTCAATCTATTGGAACATATGGTTCAATTCTTGTCAGATTATGTATATATAGAGAGATAATTATATAATGTATATGCAGACATAATTTGTTATTTACTGTTATTTTGAAATTTTGTGGATTTTGTCTGGCCCCAAAAGTAAAAGTAACATGACATTTGTTCTTTTTTATAAGCTTTTCATATTGCCAAATGTCAGCATTTGCCACATCATATTTTCTTTTCAGTTTTAAATGAATATCCACAAAATTGACACCCCTCTTCCCACTGAATATAACCGTGCAGCCTGTAATTTCCTTTGTCAAGTCATGCGCATTGCAACTTACCTTGTATTTAATAATGTTTTACACCAAACCCTTTGTAGATTAACATTCTTCTTGTTTATAATGTTTATTTGTCTCTAAACATGCATCTTTAATTTGAGCTAATTAATGAATATGGGATAGCAAATGTATAAGAATAATTTAGTCATGATTACCAAGGCAAAAAAATTTACATTTTCATTTTACCTTTAAATTGAGTACAAATAATATTGAAAATCCCAATTACTCTGGAAACAAACATCAAAGTCCATGAATCATATGCATATATATATATATGACATTATCAACTAATCTGTAGAAGACCTACAATAAGTTCTAGTTTTGTTAAGATCTAGAAACTGATGCCAGCATTGAAGACTACTCATATACACTCAGCAGGCCTCAAGACCATGAACTCTTACACTGTTCCTCTTCTCAGGGGACAACATGACTGTTTTAAATACAGCAGACTGGCTGTTGAGTTGCAACACCCCCTCTTCTGCAACAAGTATGGGAGACGATGGTACACTGCATGGTTTGGGTGTGTGTGTTGGCCTCTGGTTTGCTTTCTCTTGCTGTTTTCTGTTGGCCCCTCTTTTCTATGTTTGGTACCTGATAGACAAATGAGAAGTGAACATGCCTTTTACTTGGCTGTGTTGTTGTTTTTTTTCCCCCAAACTGGTAACCAAGTCTGAAAATGGTCTCATCAATAGTATTCTTTGCTTAGTTTAAAAAAAATAATTTCACACAAACAGGTACATATGCCAGTTTCCTAAGTACTTATCACATTGTTACACAGTTAATTCAGAGTAATGACAAAAAGAGCACCTTAAGCTGAGTGAACGTGCATTAAGCCAGTTACCAAATAACCCATGAATTCTTAACATGGCAAAGGAATATTTACTATTTTACAGACTTCAATAAGTATTACAAAACATCCAAAGTCATATTAATAATGAGTATCCCATCATGTTAAAAATTATCAGCAATGAAATCTGAGCACAGTTATAATCTAGCTACTCAGAAGCCTATAGTAGTAAGATCATAGGTTTGATAAAACTCAAGGTTCCCATCTCTAAATGAGTGAAATATAAATAAACAAATATTGTTAGACACAGTGGTGTCCACTTATAATCCTAGCTAGTTAGGAGACAAAAAACAAGAGTATTGAAGTTGGAGGCCAGCACTAGCAAAACATAAGACCCCATTTCAGTTAAAAAGACAGTTATGGTGGTATATATCCATATTTTCAGCTATGTGGGAGACATAGGAGGATCATGTTCCAAGGCCATATCCAGGCAAATATGAGACTTTATCCAAAAAATTACTAAAAAAAAAAGAACTGTGGTATGGCTTCAAGTGTTAGTGCCCTTGTCTAGCAAGTGCCTCACCCTGCATTCAAGCCTTAGTATTACCAAAAAACATTAAAAATATAAATTAATAATAAGTCTCTTATTATCTATAAATATTATCTGCATTCATATACAAACTTTCTCCTACATCAAATATGAATGTGCCATCAAAATTTGACATTTTGACAAAATTATCATAATACTAAAGGACTGCCCATTTGAGGTTTAAAAAGGAGAGCTTATGTCTACTGGAAGTGAGTATTAAAAGCATGCAGTTATAATAGACTTTGTTATAAATGTATCTTTCTCCATTTCAAATTAAATACCAATCTATGACTAGTGAATAAGAAGCACTCCATAGTGTTCATTATTTGTACTTTTTTTTGTCCATTGTGGGGCTTGAACTCAGGGCCTGGACGCTGTTCCTGAACCTCTTTGTAATCAAGGCTAGTGCTCTCCCACTTGAACCACAGTACCACTTCTAGTTTTTGAATGGTTACTTGGAGATAAGAGTCTCACTGAGACTTGTGTGCCTGGGCTGGCTTTGAACCATGATCCTGAAATCTCAGCCTCCTGAGTAGCTAGGATTGTAGGCATGAGCCTCCAGCACCCGACATTATTTGTATTTTTACTAGCACATAATTGCATACAGATTAATGGTTTGGTTATATTAATTTCAATGTACTTTGATCACATTTGTCCCTACCCTGCCTTCTCTGCCTCTCCCTTCTCCTTGTCTCAAATAGTCCTCATTCTACTTCCATGGATATTTTTTAAACCTAGGTCACAAATGAGAAAAAATGCAATTTTTTAGTTTCTTGAGTACGGCTTATTTTGCTTAACATGATAGTCTCCATTTCATCCATTTGCGTGCAATTGACACAACTTTATGTTTCTTTGTGATTGACTGTAACTCTACACTGCATTAGCTACTTCTCCATTAAAGGGCATCCAGGCTCATTCCGTAACTTTCTTATTCTGAATCAAGCTGTAATAAACATGAATGTGGAGATATCTTCATTGTATGTTTCCTTCGCTTCTTTTGGGTAGATACCCAGGGACCCATGGCTGGATTATAAGGGAGTTTTACTTCTAGTTTGTGAGAAAACTCCATCATGATTTCCATAGCAGCTGGGCTAATTTACATTCCCACACATAGTACACAAAGAGGTTTCCTTTACCCTCTGTACCAGAATTTACTGAGGCGTGTTTCCTTGATAGTATTGCTTCTTACCATAGTGAGAAAAAAATCTATATGTAATTTTTTTTTGGGGGTCCGGTCGTGGGGCCTGAACTCTGGGCCTGGGCGCTATCCCTCAGCTCTTCAGCTCAAGGCTAGCGCTCTACCACCTGAGCCACAGTGCCATTTCCAGCTTTTTTTCTTTTTGCTTATGTGGTGCTGAGGAATCGAACCCAGGGCCTCAGGCATGCAAGGCAAGTGCTCTACCACTGAGCCACCTTCCCAGCCCTCTATATGTAATTTTGATTTGTTCTTCCTTGATAAGAAAAGATGTTGAACAATTTTTTCATGTATTTCTTAGCCATTTGTAATTCTTTTATGAAATATATAATTCTTTTACCTACTTATTGATTGAAATATTTATTTTTGATAGTGTATAATTTTTGCCTAATTGTTTTAGACAAGGTATTTCTATGTAACCCAGACTGACCCTAAACTTGCTATATAATGCAGAATGGGCATCTTGAAATCCTTGTGTCTTGGCCACTTGAGTACTGAGATTACACATATGCACGCCCAGCAATTTTTAGTTCTGTCTGTTTTCTATTATTACCTACTAGATGAATAGCTGGAAGCCTTTCTTCTACTCTATGGGCTGTCTCTTCCCTTGGGCATTTTTTTCTTTTCTGTGCAGAATTTATTTTAGCATGATGCAATCTCATTTATCAATGCTTCCTATTATTTCTGAACTATTAAGTCCAGAAAGTCATTGTCTGCACCTAAAATTTCAATTATTTTCTCTACATTATCCTCCAAGAGTTTCAAAGTTTTAGGTCTTACATTAAGGTATTTGCTACATTTTGAATTGATTTTTTGTGTGCAAGGAGAGAGATAGGAAGCTAGTTTCACTCATCTACATATCAGATAGTTGATTTTTCTAGCACCATCTGTGGAAAACACTATCCTTTCTCCAATGTAGACTTTTGATAACTTTTTTGAGCATCATGTGTCTGTAGCTGTACTGGTTTATTCCCGGTTTGTTTGTTCTGCTCCATTGGTCTGTATGTCTGTTTTCTTGCTGATACTGTGCTGATTCTCTTACTATGACTCTATAATTTGTAATCACTATTTGTGATACTCTCAGCATTGCTCTTTTTGCTCAGGCTTGCTTTGAGTAATCAAGAAATCTTGTGCTCCCATATGAATTTTAGGATTTTTTTTGTTTCTGTGCTATTTGCTTTTCAGAATCTCTTTTGGATTAATTTCTTACCATGTTGTTCTCACTCAAGTTTGAATTACTTTTATCTGTTTATTTCAATTTCTGTTTGAGTTTGTTAGTCATTTTTAAAGGTTAGACATGTGAATTCCTTCTCTGGCATTTTAACAAGTTCAGTAGGTTTGGATTCAGTTATTGGGTAGTTGTGAACTGTTAGAGGAGTCATGCTGCCTAGCTTTTTCATATTTCTTGTGTAGGTAAGTTGCAGGTTTTCCCATCTATATAAATGGATAGCTCTTCTGGTTTTATACGGGATCTTCCTAGTGAGTAGCCATCTCTT